TTTAAAAATGTCTGGCTGCTGGCCAGTTTTACACTACAGTGTCATCTCTTATTCCTGTAGTAAAACACCTACCTTTTTCTCTAGTACATTTTAGTCACTTATCCTTGATTAAAACTGTTCTGCTACTGACCAAATTTACTGTAACACTGCTGTATCCTCTGCAGTATCTGATTCTTGTAGTAAAGTCTCTGCCTGTGCTTTTTGTCTCTAGTAAATTTAGGCATTGCCTTTCTATATGATATTGTCATGTTGCTGACCAATTTTACACTGTTTTGTAAGTTTTCTTAATGCTTAATTCATGTATTAAAAAACCTGCTTGTATTCTTTTTCTTTAGTACATTTCAGTCAATTCTTCCTCATTATAAATGTCCTGCAGCTAGCCAGTTTTACATCTGTGGTCTCTTAATTATTAAACAGAGCTTGATAGAAACTGGCAAGCGGCAGGACAGTTTTTTATCCATGAAAACATGGACAATCACAGTGAGATACTGACAATTTTCTATCTGTCAGTCTAAGCAGGTTTATTACCATTTGATGGAAAGAAAAAAAAAACACACGAGTTGCTGCTAAAGCTACCTAAAAAGTATTTTTTTTACATTTGAAATAAATCAGTTTGGAGTGCTGCTGCTATATGTAATACAAGCTAACTGTAAAAGAAAAAAATAATTCCACAGCCAAATACACACTGCCAGCACATGCTGTCACTGAAACTGTGAAAATATTGTTGCATAACACCACATACAGCTTTGAGACATCCCCCTCCTCCCCACGCATGCTATTTAAAATGTGTGTATTTTCAATGTTGCCCTTGAAGCAGCATTAAAAGATCCTCTACCTGCTTTACAGTATTTTAAAAACATTTTTTGTATTGATATATGTCCCCCACAGTAGTGTTCAGCTGCCTTTGCCTAGTAGCCCTACAAATGGCCAGAATTAGTTTCAATGGGATTCACACCTAAATTTGGATCTGAGCAAAACTTGCCGAAACCCTTTGCAAGTCAAAGCCAGGGAGATTCACCTATCACTAACAATGCACTTGTTGTTCCTGAAGCTAGGAAACCACGTTTATAAGATGTGCTAAATACAAACCTTGGGCTATCCAGGTTAGTTGAGAGAAAGAATTCTATAAGTTTAGATCAGGTCATATGTCACTATTTACCATTTGTCAACCCCACCACAGTGTATTGCATGTAAACAATACTTGACATGCTATTGAAGCTCCTTAATTGGCTTTTTAAGCCCATTTCAGCTGTAGAACATGGTGTATAGGCATATTGGCATGTTATTAGAATAACATAAATCTGAAATGTGAATAGAATTTACCGTTTAATATTCTCCCACAGCTCTTCAATTGATATGTTCAAGGCAATAAAAATGCATCCTACTGATATTTTGCTCCAGGCAAGGTGAGTCATATAACATCAAAATAACCTGCTATCCAAAGTAAATAAAATTGCTATGCAGCACTAAAAACCTGCTGAACCATTGTTAATCTTCTGCTGCCGACTCTACCCCATTCCTCTTTGATATTAAGATGCAGTTAAATTTTGCATCACACAGAACTTTCCATGCGTAAAGGGTTCCGTGCACACGTCAAGATAAATATCAACCTTTATTTCACATACAAGGTTATAACTCTGGTAGAGCGTTCAAAAGTGAATAAGTGAACCCTGAAATTAATAAATATTAAACTCAAAGAAACTTGTCTAGAACAATCATTTTCAACAAGCAAATCATTCACAATATCAAATAATGTTGCTAATATACTGTATGTACTTACAGTACAGTGTATAGTGCAGATATCAATTTTTAAAAGGATGAATAATATTGTTAGATTTTATAACATTTGATAGATTTTTTTTAATAATAACTTTTGATAAGTTTGAGTTTTGGCATACCGAGATTCAGATAAACAGATTGCTGTGTGGAGCAGTAGCCCAAAGTTATGGTATGTGATGACACCAGTAGCATCTAACATCTAGGAGATAAATTCTTATCTAGGAAAAAAATTTATAATGCACAATGGAAAGGACTAAAACACACCTGTGATGTGACCAGCTAGAAAGAGATATCAATCATCATGTTTTTTGAACAACTTGTTGGGGATGAGTACTAAGATCTTCTCTATACACTGAGATTTGTTAGGAAGCACTAACATAATTCCCCACTGAAAAGAGGAAATATCATTCATCAGTTTTAATACATAGTAGAATGCATAGGATAGGATATAATTAGCGGTTAAGTGTACTACAAACTACATAATGAAAAATTAAGGTATGAAGTCATATGAGGTTAAATGATCCAGCAAAGTTGGTTTTTGCCACATTACAAGACTTTTTATCCTGCAGAAATGGTGACTCAAAGTTGGAAATATTTGAGCAGTAGTGACCATAATGTAGTAATAATTAGGCTCATATTCAATATACTATAGAACAAAAGGCTACGAAAATTGTACATTTTTAGAAAAGCACAGCTGAAAAAAAGAAAAGAAGCAACTAGCCTTGTAGACTGGGAATGTGTACCACTTAACAAACTATTTTTTATTATTATTTTGAACTATGTCAAGTAAAATAAAACTAAAACACAAGGTGATAGCCTTTACAAATTAGGTTGTTAACCACTTGCTGCCGGCCATAAAACATTTACTGTGAATGGTTTGCACAGCCAGTGTCACGTACCTGATAGAAGTCTGAATTGACGATGTCAGCCTCTCTTGTATCTCCAGCCCAGGCCCCACTGAAGGTGGAACAGATGGTGTCGATGGACAGGAGAAACACGAACGCCTGTGGATATTGATTGCAGAACTTGCGGCTGGAGGTGTAACCTTGATAAATGAAGCAGGGCATCCACTCAGGAACAGAGGAGATGCCGGAACAGCCAGCTGAGGTTAAGGAAGCACTCCACTGGAACTGGGTACGTGGCTTACCAGAACTTCTGATAAGCATGAGGCTTGAACTGATGACAACCGGAGCTGATATAATAGATAGCCAGGACAAGCACTTGGCAGGAATGTAGAGCCAAACTGGAGCCTGAAGAGTAGTCAGAGTAATAGCCAGGGTCAGCAACGAGCAGGCGATGAGGTACCGGAACATCAGACAGAGACGAGGTCAGGAGGAAGCCAGGATCTGAAACCGATCAGCAGAAGCATAAACAGAATCCGAGAGCAGGTCAATGGCAAACTGGGTCAGTAACGGATACACACAGGATACAGCAGGAGACAGGGATTAGCTGAAGACCAGTCAGCACTGACAGAGAGTAAGAGCCTCCTTTAAATAGTCTGTCTGGTGCCAGAAACTGTGGGCACACTCCCGCGCCTGTGCGCGAGCCTATGCTCATTGTTATTAGCAATGTGCCCGTGCTCATTTCTATGTGCGATGTTGTGCGCATGTGCTTTTCTATACACAAGTCGCCATACAGGAATTCCCTTACAGCCATGCAGCATGATGTACCCATATGTCATGGTCAACTCCCTGATTTTTGGGTGTGCATACACACACCCCCTTCTAACCTGTTCTGCGTTTGGACACAGGACGAGTTTGTTAGCAGATTTCAGCCAATGATTCAAGCTCTATACCTGCTGATCTGCTGTGTCCAATCAAAGCACAGAGTTCTGTGTTATCAAACACACAGAACACTGTACACAGACAGCAATCTGGCTGTTTCTTCTTCCTGAAATCAACTCAGGGAGAAAAAGCATCAAGTATTACACACATTACACTTGTAGGCACACAGTTAACTCCTTGATTGCTCCTTGATTTCAACCCCTTCTCAGCCAGTGCCATTAGTACAGTGTACAATACTATCACTGATCACTCTATTAGTGTCACTAGTGATGTCAGTTAGTTAGTTAGTGTCCCTGCCAGCCAGTGTCAGTTAGTTCCTCCACACTATCACAGTCACACTGTAAGTCACTGATCACCACCATTACTAGTATAGCATTTAAAGATGCGTAAATTGTGAGAGCGCAGTGCATTGTGGAGCCCTTATCATTTGTGCGTTCACCAGACACACGAGCGACCATTGTTCAACATCTAGACCATCACTATTCCATAATATAACCCCTGTAAAAGCACAGGTAGGCAATGTAATTATTGAGTACAATGGAAAGGCAAGTATATTAAATAAAAGTTTTAGTGTCTTACCAAACGATTTTTTTTTTTTGGGGGGGGGGGGGATGCAGCCAGTATTTATTAAATAATAATAATTGAAAGAATTTTTCCAGTTTTACCTAAACAAAATTAAAGCAGAACTTCAGGATATTTCTAAATCTGACAGAGATTCTAATTCTTCTCTACACTATCTAAAACTGAGAAAAATGTTTTGATTATTGTTACACTTTAAGTTCAGTATAGTATAGGTGCTATCTTATTTTCTTCTCAAACTGAATCAATTCCACAAGACATGTCATGGATGTTGTAAACAAAAAGAAAAACACAACAGACCATAGGGGCTCATCTGGTTTTCCAGAATATCCTTTGCATTGTGCATTGGCTGGTGAATGACCAGCATAATATAGCAAAGCATACATGACTTCATAAAGCTGTTGTTTCTTCTTCTCAAATGTTCTGTAGCATACTGACATATGTGCTCTGTAAATGTTATTAATTTTCCCTCTATATACTAAAATAAATGCACATGGAGAAAACAGTGCTAGAAAATTACTGTATTTTTGGCGCCAAAAGACGCACTTTTTTCCCCCCAAAAAAGGGGGAAAAATGTCAGTGCGTCTTATGGAGTGAATATAAAGCGGCCGGTCTGGTATTTCCACCTCCACCATGTCAGAATACCGTGCCAGCCGCTCAGCTGTTCTCTAATGCAGGACCTTACCTGTTCCCCGGTCCAGCGCTGCGCAGTCTTCCCGCGCCGGCTTCTTCCCGCTCCGGCATCTGTGACAGCCGGATGCCCACTGCGCATGCGTGAGAAGCACTGCGCTTTGTGAATGGTTCGGTGTCTTCTGGGACACATGACAGGTCCCAAAAGACCCCGGGCCATTCACAAAGTGCAGCGCTTCTCACGCATGCGCAGTGGGCACCCGGCTGTCACAGCCGGGTGCCCACAGTAAAGAGAGAACAGCTCCGCGGAAGTGGGAGCGGGTACCTGTCAAATTCAGGTACCCGCTCCCCCTCCCTCCCTAAAGGTCCGCAGGCTCTGGTCATCTCCTGTACTGTCTGCAGTCTCTTGGTCATCCTCTGTACTGTCTGCAGTCTCTGGTCATCCCCTATACTGGCTGCAGTCTCTGGTCATCCCCTATACTGTCCGCAGTCTCTGGTCATCTCCTGTACTGTCTGCAGTCTCTGGTCATCTCCTGTACTGTCTGCAGTCCCTGGTCATTCCCTGTACTATGTCCACAGTCTCTGGTCATCTCCTGTACTGTCTGCAGTCTCTGGCCATTCCCTGTACTATGTCTGCAGTCTCTAGTCATCTCCTGTACTGTGTCCGCAGTCTCTGGTCATCTCCTGTACTGTGTCCACAGTCTCTGGTCATCTCCTGTACTGTGTCAGCAGTCTCTGGTCATCCCCTGTACTGTGTCAGCAGTCTCTGGCCATCTCCTGTACTGTGTCTGCAGTCTCTGGTCATCTCCTGTACTGTGTCCGCAGTCTCTAGTCATCTCCTGTACTGTGTCCGCAGGCTCTGGTCATCTCCTGTACTATGTCTGTAGTGTCTGGTCATCTCCTGTACTATGTCAGCAGTCTCTGGTCATCTCCTGTACTGTCCGCAGTCTCTGGTCATCCCTGTACTGTGTTCACAGTCTCTGTGTCCGTCTCTTCATCCCCTGTACTGTGTCCGCAGTCTCTGGTCATCTCCTGTACTGTGTCCGCAATCTCTGGTCATCTCCTGTACTGTGTCCGCAGTCTCTGGTCATCTCCTGTACCATGTCTGCAGTCTCTGATCATTTCCTGTACTATGTCTGCAGTCCATTGGTTCAGAATATTTTTTTTATTGTTTTCTCCTCTAAAACCTAGGCGCGTCTTATGGTCAGGTGCATCTTATGGAGCGAAAAATACGGTACTTGAAAATAGATGTTAAAAAATAAGGGAATTCCCAGTGCCAACCAGTAGCTGCAAGAGAAAACAGGATTTTAGGATTAATACAAAAGCAGATGAACAGATGTGGTGCAATAGTGTTATCCCCCTCTAAAAATCACTGTTAAGGTCTCATTGTAAACATGGGTACAGACTAGTCACACATGGAGTTCTAACAACCAAGTTCTCGTGAATAACCTGTAGCACTCCAATCATTTACGGCTTAGTATTGTATGTCTCCTGCTTCCCCAGGTTTGTGAATGTGGAACACTTGATCAAAGTGAAAACAGATTTCTAGATTGAAACTGAATATCATGGATATGTCCTGGATCAAAAGTTTGCTTTAAAAATACAGATTCAATTAAAACTTTTTTAAAATCATATAAAACATTAGATTAAACGTTTGAGAACTTATTTTTTTAGCTTAGGATAGAGCTGGTATTGATTAGGAATTTAGATCAGATTTGAATTGATATCTATGTTTTGACAAGGAGATTAATTCTCTCTACTTGTACCCATTTTCAGAAAGTGTTAGAAAATTCTACATTTTTATGGCTGTCAGTGGAACAGGAGGTAAGGGGAAATCTTCCGAGAAGAACATACTATATATTGCTATGACACCTGTCTAGTGAAATTTCCCTCAGTTTGGAGAGATTTCCTTTTACTTAATGTTGTGTCTTTATTTTGGGAGACTATGTAAAAGGAAATCTCTTCAATGGGACTCTGACAGCAAATGCTAAAAAAGGAAAAGAAGTTGAACAAAACTGATTATCACTGATGCTGAAATTCCTTGAAACTATTTTCCAGAAAACCATTTTTGTGGGCAACTATTGTGTGTCCATCAGTCCTGTCAACTACAAAGACTTTGACAATGTGGGATATGTTGGGAATGCAACAGCATGTACTATAATGTACTATATACAGTATTCTGTGGTAATATCACTTGACCAGTAGATGGCACTATACACTAAAGGTTACTAGTTGTGTATGTGTAGAACTTGCTGCTTCTTTCTTTTTCTCTATCATCTCTTCAGGAAGTAATGTGTCTTCTATAACACATAACCAACAGGTTATGGGCCCAGCTCCAGACACTGAAAAAAAAAGGAAAACTACAAGCAAGTAAGTGCTGCATTTTACAATCCTACCAATTCACTGAAAGATGGCAAGTGCTTCAGATATGAAGTTTACAATAGCAAAGCTCAACAACACCAACTACCAGCTATGGAAGTTTAAGCTTGAAATGCTGTTATCCAAAGATGACTTGTGGCAGGTACTAGAGACACACAGACCCAATGACAACCCGGAAGAATGGGACAGAAAAAACAGGCAAGCAAAAGCAGTCATAAGCCTGTTAGTGGAGGATGATCAACTCATTCATATAAGGAAAGAAATCACAGCTAAAGGTATGTGGACTGCATTACAAAAACTGCAGGAACGTGCAAGCCTAAACAGTAAACTATATCTGCTACGCAAACTGTATAAGATGAGGCTGGAAAAAGGGCAGGAAATGGGTGAACATGTAAATGCCATGCTAGAAATTGTGGACCAGCTGGGTGCAATAGGTGAAGAAATAAAAGGCAACCATGTTGTGGCGCTACTTCTGTGCAGCCTTCCAGAATCATACAGTGCCCTTATAAATGCTCTAGAAACTAGACCGGAAACTGAACTGACGCTAGAATATGTTAAGGGAAAATTAATTGATGAATACAGCAGAAGAAAGGAAAATTTGCATAGTGAAGAGAACGAGAGACCAGAGGCAGCTCTGAAGGTGCACGAAGGCATAAGACAAAGCAAAGAAACCAGGGTATGTTTTCGCTGCAAAAAGGCTGGTCACCTGAAAAAGAACTGTTCAATCTGTAAAGCTGAGCAGCAAAAGCGGGAGCTACCCACAAGAGAAAGAGCTAAAGCAGTCATGAAAGAAAATGAAAGTGCATCATGGAGTGGTACTTTTAAAGTGACTCAGAATAGTACCTCACATGGATGGTACATTGACTCAGGGGCAACAAGTCACATGACAAGCGACGAGACATTCTTCACAGAAATTGATTTTAGTGTAAAAGATAAAGTCTTCCTAGCAAATGGGAAAAGTATTACAGCAGAAGGTAAAGGTCAGGGATTTCTGAACTGCAAAACGCCATTAGGGGGCAAGCAGAGCATCCTTGTAAAGAATGTTCTATATGTTCCAAGCCTAGAAGGAAGCCTCCTATCAGTTAAAACCCTTGCAAGCAATGGACTCACTGTCCAATTCAGAGGTAATGAATGCACAATTCAAAATGGAAAGCAAATTCTAGCAAGAGGAAGATTAAATGAACATCTGTACAAACTCGTCACTGAAAGTGAGAAGGCTAATGCGGCAACTCATAACCCACATGACAAGTGCATCCACCTGTGGCATAGAAGACTGGGGCATCGAAACCCAGAAGCTATAAAGGACTTTGCAAAGAGAGGTCTATCAGAAGACATGAAAATATTGCCTTGCCACACACTCAGCAAGTGCACGTGTTGCATCAAAGCAAAGGCCACCCGAACCCCTCTTCCACAGACCAGTCAGAGTAAAACCATTAAACCCATGGAACTGATACAGAGTGATGTGTGCGGACCAATGAAAACCATCACACCTGGCAGGAACAGATATTTACTGACTTTCATCGATGATTATTCCCGGTACACAATAACGTATCTAATGAAGCACAAAAGTGAGACATTAGAAAAATTTCAAGAGTTTGTAGCTATGACAAGCAACAAGTTTCAAAGGAAACCTGGAATAATACGCACTGACAATGGAGGGGAATATATGAATAAAGAGATGGAATCATACCTAAAGAAACAAGGTATTATACACCAAACAACTGTACCATACACTCCTGAGCAAAATGGTGTAGCGGAAAGAAAGAATCGCACTCTTGTAGAAATGACAAGATGTATGATTACGGACGCTGGCTTACCTAGCAAATACTGGGGAGAAGCAATAATGACTGCAACATACCTACAAAACAGGCTCCCATCAAAATCTATTGAGAGTACACCATATGAAATGTGGAATGGATCAAAACCTAATGTAGGACACATCAGAGTATTTGGCTGTAAAGCATATGCCCACATTCCAAGTCAGAAACGCTCCAAGTTGGAGAACAAAGCCATAGAAGGCATTCTGGTTGGCTACAGTGAGCAGAGTAAGGGATATAGAATCCTTTGTCCAAAGACCAACAAGGTCACAGCAAGCCGCAGTGTTTATTTTGATGAAAGTGAAGCACCAGATAATACAATTCTTGAAAAATGTGGAGAGGATTTACACACTGAATCGGCAAGAGACACTGATTTTGCGAAGCAGGACAAGAGCCAGAACAAGAAGTGGAACTTACAATTAACGATCCAATAGAACCCACTGAACAACAAGAAATGAGAAGATCCTCTCGAATGACAAAAGGGATACCACCCCGCAGGTTATCATACGCTGCTAAAACACATCAAACACAGGAGCCAACATCCTGGGAAGACATAGAAACTTTGCCGAGAAGGGAAGCCGATCAGTGGAGAAAAGCAGCTGAAGAAGAAATAAAATCACTTCAAGAAAATAAAACTTGGTCACTAACAGAACTCCCTCCTGGTCGCAAAACCATCGAAGCAAATGGACTTTTAAAGTAAAATATGATGCAGAAGGAAACATCCATAGATACAAAGCAAGATTAGTTGCCAAGGGATACTCCCAGAAATTTGGAGAAGATTACGATGAGACATTTGCTCCAGTTGTGAAACATTCTACTATAAGAACACTCCTTAGTATTGCTGCCGGAAAGGGAATGCAAGTAAAGCATCTAGATGTCAAAACTGCCTTTTTGTATGGAGACATCAAGGAGGATCTGTACATGGAACAGCCACCAGGCTTTGAGAAAGAAAAGAACCTTGTATGCAAACTGCAAAAGAGCATCTACGGGCTCAAGCAAGCGGCGAGAGCATGGAATGAAAAAGTGAACGAAATACTCAGAAAAGAAGGGTTCTCAAAAAGTAAAGCAGATCCATGTCTGTATTCAAAGAATCAAGAGAACAAATGGACATACATCCTAATATACATCGATGACATCTTGACGTGTTTTGAACAAGAAGGGGACTATGACCAAATAGTTCACAAACTGAAACAAAATTTTGAAATTAAAGAGTTGGGAACATTACTCACTATCTGGGAATTCAAATAGAGCGGGAAGAGAATGGAAGCTATCTTCTTAACCAAAGTCAGAAAATTACAGAAATGTTAGAACAATTTCACATGCAAGATGCAAAGGAAGTGAAAACACCAATGGAACCGGATTATCTAAAAAACAATGGAACAGAAAACTTGTTACCTAACAATGATTATTACCGCAGGGCAATCGGAAAATTGCTATACATCGCCACCGTGACAAGACCAGACATCGCCCTAGCAGTGGGAATACTTTGCAGGAAAGTCTCAACACCGTGTCAACGCGACTGGAATGCAGTAAAGAGGGTAATGCAATACCTAAAGGGAACAAATCGGATGAAGCTGCGACTTCCTGCATCGTCAAACCCAAAACTGATTGGATATGTGGACGCCGATTGGGCTGGAGACACCACTGACCGCAAATCTACAAGTGGTTACATCTTC